AAAAAAAAAAAAAAAAAAAAAAAAAAAAAAAAAAAAAAAGATAAAGCAGTTTTGTTTACTTACTTTTCTATTTAAGTTAACTCACCTTATGTCTTTTAAAGCTTACTTCAATAGAGTTTTCATTTTTTCTGAGGTCAGGAAGCATTACCACAATTCTATTAAGGTTTAAAAACGTGAATCTCTAGAGAACTTATAGCTGATGTCATAAACCTCTATCTTAAATCACATAATTTATCTCTAATTTCTGAAAACACTCACTCCATTAAGTCATATTACAAATTACTCCCTTCACCTTAGGTCAAAAAGGCCAAAGGATAACAAGTGGTAAGCTTTGTAGCATCTAGGGAGAAGCACCACTCAGAAAACTCTCTGAATTGAAACATACCTGTCACAAAGCAACAATGAGATAACTACCTTAAAAAACCTCTACAATGAAACCCACCTACATAGTCTTTTTTTTTTTAAATCACATTAGCATTTACACAAAGTGTATATTGCTGCAATAAGCATGAAAATATTCCCTCAGCATGCTGCTGAACATTTTTTTTTTACTACCCTGAGTTAAATAGCACTACAGATAATTTTATTGCATGTAGTTAATAATAGTAAAAGACACTCACATTAGTGAATTTTCTACCAGTATTATTGACAAGTTTCCAGACTTCTGAAGAAAAAAAAACCACCACAACGCATAGTACTACTTATAATTTGTATTCAAACACATCTTCATCTGTATCACCATATGAACTAGCAGCCAGCAACAACAGAGAGCTACTTACTTGACCCTATGCTTCAAAATTCTTCCTCCTCACTAGCTTACTACATATCTCATTAGACAGAGAGGAAAAAAAAAAAACAGAAAGCAAAAAACAAACAAAAAAAAACTCCAGCAGATTCTAAAATGCAATTAGCTGCACTACAGCAAATAAATACTAACGGTACTGTGACATGATAGAAAACACAACAGTGAAAACAGAGCAGCATGATCCCATGCTACAACAAACAAGGGTTCGCTCAAACATGACAGCCATAGATGCAGAAAATCCAGGAAAGAAGCTGCTTATCTGCAAAAGCCCTTACCCACGGAGGGTTCTCCAGCAAGACACCCTTACCTTCACATCCAACCCTTAAGCGATGTCTGGGAAGGGGTGGAGTCTGGATCCACTCTTTCCAGTCATTGCATGCACCTGAGCTTCCCTGGGTTGGCCCTGCCTTCCCACCAGGTGCTCAGTCATTGGTTTGAACCCTCAGTTAGCATTTCCACTACCCACCCATATTTTATAAATGAAAAAACACATTTTTGTTTTCCTTGTTTTAATTACAGCATATTATTTAATCAAAGGCCACCGTTCAGAATCACTAAGGAAAACAAAGTGAAAGTTATAATCAAAGAAATGCTTTAATTACATTGTGGAAACACACTTCTAAAGGAAAAATTTCACATTCATTTCTGAGGACTTCCAAAATATGAATCTTTTGAGGAGATGTTTAGAAATGCTATAATTCTTTTGCAGTCAATTAAGATTTGTAGGAGCAGTTCTTACCTCAGCAATCATTCTGTTAGTGTCTCCCATGAAGAGCAAATTTAGTGCTTCCTCTTCATTGCTTGCTTGCTGAAGAGATAGGTTTTTCAGGTGAATGTTCTGGTTGGGGTCTTCCATTATTGTCACTTTTCTATGTGATAGGAAGAAAAAACAGAGAAATAGAATTAGCGTACAGTTAACTTTGTTCTCTATTTTTATTTTGATTGCATTAGAAGGTAACATCTAAAAATGCAAAATAATCAAAACACTGAAAATATCAAACGGTGAAGGCATAAGTGAAAGGAAGTATTTTTTTTTAGTTTTATACTGCCATCTTTTTTTATTCCTTTATCCAAATGGAAAAAGAAATTATAAAAGCTGTGCCTACTGGAGAACACTTCAGAACTGTTTTTTGGTAAGGTAGAATGAAATCTCAAGAATAAGATGTTAGATGAATCATCACAAACAAATAATGAGTAGGGCTTCTGTCTGCTATTGCCAGTTATTAAGCACTAATGAAGCATAAAACATAACATAATTATGATGAAAAAATAGGGATAGAATATTTCAGGACCATCACACCTGTAGCCAACATGATTCTAGTAATTTGCATTTTTTCAAGACTATTTCTCTTCTCATTCTTTGAATGCTGCTAATTAAAAATGTAAATGATTCTTTTCTTCATTAAAAGCAAACAAATAAAAATAGGATGTTTTAATTTATTTCCTCTGAAGCTAGAAATTTTGTAAGATGTACCTCTTCAAGCCTTATATTTCAGAAGATAGTTAAATGGAAATGGCCTTAATCACAAAGTTGTGGAAGATACTCTATGCTTAGAGACATTCAAGGTCAGGCTGGGCTAAGCTTTAAGCACCCTGATCTAGCTGTAGGTGTCCCTGTTCATTGCAGGGGAGTTGAACTATATGACCTTTAAGAGACCTTTTTAACTCAAATGATTCTACGATATAGCAAAACTCTAGGAAAATTACTTACCATCACTGAAACTCTTTCTGAATTACTAAACAGACTTTTTTACATAAGAAATTTTTCTTTTAATCGAGTAAGTGAAAGTTACACTTAATTAGCTTTACTGAGTACCCGTTAGGGTCTCCTAAGCTAGTGCAGCCTGTAATATCCAAAATACAAGTCAAGTAGTTGCATTACTGAATTTGGAAAGCTCACTGAGTTAAGGCCATTCAAAGTGTTAAAAAGTGCAATAACTGCTGAGTCAAGGCCTTAATTACTGATGGAACACCTGAGGAAAGGAGTGGGTCAGCCCTGGGTGCACAGGTGAAGGCAATTCAACTGTGCGATCAGAAGGGGGTGGAGCCTGGTTGCACCTCTCTTAGACCCTATTTAAGGGCTAACTACCCTTAGGAAAGGGTGGTGGTTGTTTTTTTTTTTGTTGTTGTTTTTTGTTTTCCTCTTTCTCTCTTTCCTGGAGGTTCCTGCTTTGTGGAGTTAGCTCCTTGGAGCTAACTGTGAGCCTATCTCTTTAGAGATGGGTGAGTAGTCCTTATTCCTTTTGTTGTAACACAACACTTTTCTATTATGTCTGTTTCTCTCTCATCACATCTCTCGTACTACCTTTCTCTTGTGTTGGTCTTTCTGATAGTTACATACGCAAATTATAAGGATGGATGATATGTGTTTTGAGACAACCTGGAGGAAAATAGAACTTCTTTAAGTTTAAAAAGAATCTTTTTCTGTATCAACAGTAAAAACAAGAAACACAAACAAAGAACAAGAAGCCAACAGTTTATGTGTGTGCATTTAAATATATAAATATGTACATATTTCATGATCCTCAAGGTTAACCACAAGAGGGAGTACAGGGCTTGAGTTTTTATCTGTAGATGTTTATTGGGCATTAATTACCCCAAGCTACCTCAAAAACATAAAGGTTAGATTTTTGGTTTGGTGTTTGTCTATTTTTTTTTTTCTCTGACAAAATTTGCAGAAACAAATTACGCAGCCAAGCAGTATTCCATAGTATTACTCTTAAATATTACAGAAGCTATTTATCCTTTGGTCAAAACATTGGAGTGGATATATATAAATAATCTGAACATGTTGCAATGCACGTACTATTTTCAGAAAAAAAAATACAAGTAAACATAGACACACTGTTTCTCTAGTAAGCATAACAATTGTTTTTACAAGTATGATTGCTGCCTGTTTAAAGCCCTATATTTTTGTGCTCTAGGATAAAATAGCCCCAATACAGTTCTAAAAACCTGCTTACTCAACTGAGAACATAACTCTGAAAGCACAGTTCTGCTCTTGCATATCAATATTTGGATAAAGCTCTGTCTGCTTTAATGCTGTCTGTGCATGCCTCACATACTAAAGCCCGTAGATTTTTTTAATTAAAATACCATGTCTTGATTAATTTTAAAATTTTAAAATTTTCAAACTGTACTGTAAGAATCATCTCCCTCTTCTTATAATACAGGAAAGCAGTGTTGCTTTAATATGAACATTTGGCATAGTTCTAGAACTTCTAATCATACTACATAGTTTGCCCAATAATTTCTAAACAACAAAGATAATAGCTTGGACAAAAAGCCTTGGAAGATTATTAAAATAAAAAGAAGACAATAGGAACATCCCAAACCATTGACAGCTTCCTATACAATAGCCTTATAGCTATTAGGAGGATTTCCAAATGGAAGTACAAATTTTTACATCTTTAGAAGCATCTGTTAAAACTGTCTCAAAATGACAAGTTCCAAAATAACAATAAAATGATTTATTTTATTGCACAATAAAATTACTGTATAATATGATGACAGAATTTTATATAGCTTCCTGTAAATTAATGAAATGTTTAAATTTCATAGTCTTAACTTGGATCTTGCAGGAACAGCTCTGTTAAGTTTTCCATTATGACTGAAAAAGGCAAAGAAAAGATTTTGTTTTCTTCATAAACAAAGAATTTTTTCCATTTGGCCTAATGGATGGGAATCTGTAGTAGATTAGGAAACCTGTAGGACGGTGTGTGGGAACTGCTGAGTCATGGCCTGAACCTCTGATCACCTGAGGCTAGCAAAGAGTCAGCCACATGAGCACAGGTGAAGGCAATTCACCTGTGCTGCTGGAAGGGGTGGAGCCTGGCTGCATCTCTCCTAGACCCATTTAAGAGCTGGATACCAGTGGGAAAAGGTCTCTTCTGGAGATCCCTCCTCTGGAGTTTTGTAGCGAGCCCAGGACGTGGGTAAGTATTCTATCTATTCTCTATTTGTTATTATAATCTACTTAGCTAAGCTCTCTACTTTATTTTGTAATTATAACATCTTTATATTCATTGATTATACAGATGTGAGCAGCATTTTTTATGCCTTTATTAACTCAGGCTATTTCCTACATCTGCTGAGCTACCATAATGCAAGAGTCTTACATGAGGAATACTTTCCTCTATGAAATTCATGTTACTTGTAAATATTGATGTTAAAGTTTATTTTGGTTTGTTGATAACATCTCACCAATTTGTGTAACAAAAAAAATTGAAAAGTTCTGGATAACAAATGACAATTTAAAAAATACATTTCATACGTTTATATCTGTCTTTGGGGCTTAAAACTGAAGATATCTAAGATAAGATTATATCAAAAACTTGATAAACATCTAAAAATAATGAACCACAATGACATAAGTTATATACGAGGTTATATAACACTTATGACTATAATTAGCGGAATACAGTGATACTACCTCAGCATGAGAAGGAGACTGTGCAGATAATAATAAGCGTAATAGCTCAAGAGGCCAGAAGGGAGAACTTTCTCCACACAGGATCAACTCTGCTCTGTGCACCATGTCATGAGAAAATAAATTCTGGTTCATTCAATGCTCCATGAACTCAGTGCACCTCAAATATAAAGGGACGAACTCACTGCCTATTCCTCTCTCTATTCTATCTTACTTAAGCAGTTATCTTATTATGCTATTTGTTGTCAGGTCTTTCTTACTGAGATGCAGAAAGAACTCTGCACCTCCTCTTTCTCACCTTGCCTTGGCCCAGTTAACCTAAAGCATACTAAGTCATATTTCTGTATCAAAGGTGATTTCTAAAGCATTTTGACACACAAACAGGGAAACACTTGTGTTGGCTGACAGGTCAGATTAACTGCTGTCCGTTCTCCTTGTGAAGCAGTTCCTCAGCTACTGACTGACAGACCCTTATTTTAAGATAAGCCAGCGTTAATTTGTCTTCACATGCATAAGTGTCACCTGCCATAATTTGGACAGTTAAAAGTGGCAAATTTTTAAATTTTTTATGATTTAGTCTATGATTTACAATTCAACAATCTCAGCATTTACGTTTGTTTTATTATTTAGTGTTAGGAAAATTTCAAGTTCTTAATAAATAATACAAACCAGTTAGGAAGAACTTATACCAATGGATTATAACTGAAGATAAATTGATTTGATTCAGTATCATAGAGCTACGCAAATCAGACTGTGTAATGGGAAACCTGTTAGAAGACAAATTCTCTTGCAAAATCTTGGAGCAAAAGAGTTTCAGAAAAACTCCTAATTTGAACAGTCCTGCAAATCATTTATCATAGAAATAAGAGATGGCAGTCAGAATTCAAATACTCATTCATCACCTATATTCTACAATAGTAGTTTCATGCCTTTCATATACTTGAAAACAATTTTAATTTTTATTTTCTTGTATAAGCATGGAATGGAATTATTGATATTAGAATGTAAAAGTTTTATTTAATAAGTCAATTGAACTGAAGCTGCATCTGAATAAACATCTGAATAAACTTCAGCTACAGTGTCACAGAACTTAAAAAAAATATATCCAGCTTTCTACAACAAAAACAAGTTATGCTTGCAAACTAAGGAATACTGTATATTAGGCATTAGGGTATTTCAAAAGGTAATTTTTATGGGCTACATGTAAAATCATAACAACTAAACATTTAGAAAACTTTTTTTCCTGTTAAACTAAATTTACTGGGGTTTAAAAGTCATATTTGTTTATGTACCTGTTAGAAACATGATTGCATTAGATCTTGTTAATGAGCCTCACATATTCAATATGTTCTTCTTGTAAACATAGAATATTGTTACAGTGCAACTCATGAAAAGGTTTGTGTTGTAAAGACTTAGCTCTTTCAAAAAATACAAGCTTGCTATATATAGTGAATATTGTACATTTAAATTAGACTGAATCCAAAGTTTACATGGCTCCAAGGAAGAGTAAGAAGCAAAAAGAAAGCATCTTTTCAGTGGAAGAACATAAATGGACATGAATAGTTGGGATGCATATCTACATATGTATAAGTAATGACATAGAAGAACATGCAGTCTATATCCACGATGGAATTTAAAGCGGTGATATTAAACAACTTCCTGTTAAAGTAAAATAAGCAATAAGGTTTTAAAAAAATATTGCTATGAAAAATTTGCGTTCAAAGAAACCCGAGTAAATTATATTCTGTACTTTGCTTACCACCAGTACAACCCTAAAACGTCTTAAATACATAAAACTCTCATTAAAAAATGAAATATGTATCAGGTAATAAACACTTAATATATTTTAAAGTCTCTGTAACTGCTATTTACTTTGCCATTTGCAAGAATATGTCCAAGCAGCTAAAATATAACTGATCATGTAGTTACGCTTTATGCAATTTCTCTCTCATTTTATTTCAGGCCATTACAATTTATTTCTAAAAGTTTAACCCCTGAATATCTTAAAAATAAACAAATGTCTTATTAACTGAATAATTTTACTTGATCTTAAGTATAAGTGATGAAGGTGTATATTTATTGCAGAACACATACTTTTTGACAACTGAGGTACTGAAATTGTAATAGCCTTATGTTAGGTCACACTGAAAGCAATATCTCCTATTTATTTCCAGGGAAGCTAAAAACAATACAAAGAGCAGAATAGCACTATTTGATAGAACAGCTTCTCAGCTGCAAAAGTTTTTCAATGCAGTCATCACTGTTAGCTATGCATTTTTACTGGCAATGAATAAGAGCCTGCATGCCATGCTCATAAAATTTAGCACTTGATGGAGATGACCCACTTTCATAGCTGCTATGATGACAGTGTTGCTAGGAAAATGTTGTCCATTCAGCCCATTCTTCATCAGCCCAAACAGATAGAAGTGAGAAAGTACCAAACCTGGACTATACAGTGGTTGTGGTAGGACAGCCTAGCCAATACTAGCCATGTGTCCATGGTATTCAGATTTGCTTGCAGCCTGGCATTGTTGTGTTGCAAGATAAAGGTTTTCTTTTTTCTCTGGCCCAATTTTAAAAGTTTGAATCTTCAGCTTAGTCAGAATCATGATGCAGCTGTCAGAGTTGATGGTTTGTCTGACTTCCAGGAAATCAAAGAGGGTAACCCTTCTTACATCCCAAAAGATAGCATGCATCATTTATTTTAGCAGTTGAGGACTGTGTATCAAACTTTTTATTCAATGGATAATTTGGGTATTACCACTCCATGGACTGTTGTTTTGACTCTAGCTCATAGTGGTGACACCATGTGTCATCGCTGATGATGATACAATCCAGGTATCTGGATACCTGGTAACAGTCACTTTCAGCCTCATTTTGGTTCAGTAGGTCCTGATAAACATATGTTGTTCTTTCTGTTCCTATGTGAGTGTTCATGGGACCCACTTGGCACAAACTTTGCAATCTTCCAACTTTGCATTGAAGCTGATATTCAACTCCACATGCAGTTCCCTGGTCAAAACCTGCTGATTTGTGTGGATAAGCTGATTGAGACACTCTTCATTTTGTGGTGTGACAGCTGTGTGTGGCCAATCTGGAATGTGGCTTGTCTTTCATGTCACTGCTGCTGATGCTCACCACCCATAACCTCACTGTGCTTAACATCAATAAGCTTTCAGTGCCAATGAATGCCAATGGGTGTCATTTTTCCTGCACTGACAAATTCAGTGACACATCTGTTTCATACACACTTCCATGTTGTTTTTTCAGGCTACCTTACTGCTGTTTATCTGTCACAAAATGGAATATTAGCCAACGTAATAAAACAGGAGGCATGATTTTCAGAACAGCTGTTGTACATTCATGATAAAAAAAAAAAAAAAACAACAGTATTTTATCAATGTTTCATTAAAAAATGGAGTTCATTATTTTATATGTGAAGTGAAGCTGGGAGACCAATCTGCAGTCCAGTCTCATATGCTGAATTTGTTGGCTTCTTTCTTTCCTCTAGACTACTTTGTCTTACAAAGGCTGATCTTGAAAGATTTTGTAGTTATAGTTCCTGGTTAGCACATGCTGTGTAGAAAGCTTAAGGTACATTTTATAGTAATTCTTATAGTAATTCTAGAATTATATGTAGTAATTCCAGAACGTATTTTTGGGGAAAAAAATGTTAAAAATGAGTTTGTTACAAATGTAATTATCTATTTTGACAGAAAAATCAATTATATTCTGATATTAGTCTGTTGGCAGTTCTTGGTGCACTTTATCAGCAGTGATGAAATTGCTATTTACACATTTCTGCTGTCATGCTGAGTGAGAAGGTTTATGGTTTCCAGACTCACTTTTAACTATTTATCATTTGTTATTTTAAGAGCAACGCAAGCCATAAACTCTTCTTTCAGGAGGAGCGTAGAGATTTTCAAAAACTTAGGTTTTGAATTTCCTGTTAAGTGCAAGGTCTTTAACCTTGCTGGACTTAATTTTTGTGACCTATGTGTCTGTTTGTTTGTTTGTTTTTTCAACTATCCTTGTCCAAGTATTAGTAAATGCTAGGATCACATATACGTGGTATCTGACAGTGATTTTTGTTTTGCTTGTCTATTATATGTATTATTACCACTTACGGCAAATCTTCTAATCTGGAAGCTTCATGTCTTGGGTCCAACAGATCATAACCACATTCATTGTAGATTTCTAAGTAAGAAACATGAGTTGTATAGACTTTGCTGTTGTCCTAAAAAGCAAACAAAAAAAAATAATAAAACAGCAAATAAACAGTTGGGCAAAGGAAGATCTATAAACGCAAGTGAAAGCTAGGTCAGAGGAAAGACTTATCACTACAGCTTCTAAGTTGTTTTCTCATTCTGTTTCTTTTTCTTCTCCTGGGCATTGTTTATATTCTCATTTAGGGATATTTATATATTTTCTGAGATGCCACATGCATGAAATCTAAAGTAGAAAAAGGAAGAAATTTTAAAAAAATATATGAAAATAGAAGCATCCTGAACTCCAATATGCCCATTAGAAGAAAGTTGAGTTTGTTTTTTCTTTTTGTATTTAGATAGAAAGATAGAAAACACATCTTTTTCTCTTTTTGCTTTTGCCCCCTATGCTCGCAGAAGCCCAACTGTTTGCTCATATCACTGCTACAAAGGACAAAATAAAATTTACTTTAAATATAATAAATAATCATCAGAGTTCAGATCTCTTCACTTTATCCACTTATTTCTTTCCATAAAAATGAAGTTATTCTACAGTATTTGTTTTAATAAGTAAAACACACAAGTACATACTTATAGAAAAAGGTTTTTTTAAATCTGGAATGCTGTTGGCTGGTTACTGATGTTCAGAGTTTCCTTGTATTAGACAAAAATAAGACATATTACTTATGCCATCCTTCCAACCTGTAGGCTGAAGGTCAGCTAGAAGACTAAATATAGAATTCTTTCAAACGTGAAATTCAGAATAACTAACTTAAAAATCCACTTCGCTATTCAACTAGGCTTTTTTTTTTTTTTTTTTTCCTTCCAGTTCTGGTAGTATATTAGTTGGGAATTGTCTTTTAGTTATTAGAAAAATTAATATAAATGGATAATAAAAAATATTTTAGGGGAGGTTTAAGACTAGTTTTTCTTATTAATCATTTGCATTTATTTGATTTTGTTTCATTGCTCTTAACTGTTGAGACTTTAGAGTATGCTTGTAGTATTTCAAATATCATTATTACCTTCTGTCAAACATTGTTTGTTGCCCTGTTTTCTGTATATAGAATAAATGAAGAAGTTGTGAAATTAAGTTTCACTTGTTCTGGATTTACGGTGCTGCAGAAATGACTTAAAGCTAAGTTGCGGTCAAGTTACACCTCCCATATTTTCTTTCAGCTAAGTACAATGGCTTTCTCTGAACAGGAGATGCGATGGATTTTTTTTGTTCTAAGAAGAGTACAGGATTTCAAATTCAGTGGGTTGCAGTGGTCTCTAAATTGGCTTAAATAATTTGTAAGTGCAACAATGACACTTTTTTGTAGGAGATTTTGATTTGTGTAATCATAAAACTGTTTTGAGCGTACTTAGTTTCCCTCCTAAGTTCTTCAGGGCTAGAACTAGAGATGTTGAAATGGAGCATTAATAACATTCATTTTACTTTATGGATTCACCAAAAAGTAAGTTCATAGCTCCTAGATTTGGCTTGATTACCACACTAGAGTTGTGTGTTTCACCTTAACAGCTGTGTCAAATTCAGTAATCTCACAACAGTTTCACAGAGTTGATGGTGGTAGGAAAATCTTCTATGGAGTATTAAAAACAATTAAAAGAAAAGAAATAACTGGGTGAGGACTATAAATGTCAGAAATATTGTAAGACAAGGAAAAAAAGTAGCAGAGAATGAAATATAAATATTTCTTGTACTTAGTACTGTTGAAATTTTTTGGTGAAGCCAAACCCATATTTACACAGGTGGAATGACTATTTCTCCACTAGAAATTGACAGTTCTAGCATAAAACACATGCAAAATTAGTTTTCAGAGTATAATTTATTACTTTTGAAAGTATTTTTCTAGCCACTATTAACTTGTCTTTAGGTTCTGACTCTGTTTTAAAAACAGACCAAAGGATTTTTTGAGTAGTACATTAGGAAAAATAAATAACAGCAATAATAATAATAATAAATATTAATGACATTTTTACTATTTGCATAATTTGTTCATAAGTTATACATATGTAATTATATTAAAAAATGGGCCTAACATATGACCACTTTCAATTCAATTATGCTGAGTGAATCAGACTTTTATTAGTAATATCACCTACACATAAAACTTTCCATATAAGTATGTAATTGGAGTTAAAAAGAAAAGGACAGAAAAGAAGAATACACATACTTATTCTCTTTCAAATCCTGCATTACTGACTTGAAAATTATTACTTTCATAATAATTTAGCTGTCTGTCAATATTATAGTTAATAAATAATTGCATCAAATATGAACATGCAATTGTGCTGAGTTAATAGCTGAGTATTTTAAGAAGTGTACTGTTTTTTTGAGTATCAATCAAGCACAAAGAAACTATATAACTTATGATGAGTGAAAAAAATGGTCCTTATTTAATGCAATATTGTTGGTTTATCATTGCATAGGAGTCAAAGCTATTTTTGCAGGATGCGCATGTGATGCAATGCATGCAATGAAAAAAGGGTAAAGCAGTGAAGATAAGACAAGTACAACTGCTTATGTGATCTGAATGTGTATGATAGAATCCACTGAAAAAATAGCATGGTTTAAAAAAAAACAAAAAAACAACACCCTTTCACATCCATTGTCTCATTCTAAAGGCAGGTAACCAACAGTAAGCAGCTCATTATTGCGTAATATTTCATGAAAAGTTACATGTTTTCTTAAACATTACTGAATTACTAATCTTAGGGCTTCTTACTGTTACTTTATGACAGTATTATAAAAACAGTCCTTCAAAATATAGCTAAATATTTTTACACCAGTCATTTAAAAAAGAAAACCAACAAATGCAGAAAACAATCTCCCATACCTTCTGTAATTGATCAAAAATGTAAGAGAGGGTCCTGGGAATGATGCCTCTGTCACTGTAACGTTCAGCTCCTCCTGTGATCGTAAATGTTTTGCCACTGCCTGTTTGGCCGTATGCAAAGATAGTACCATTATATCCTGCCAAAGCACTATAGAAAAAATTAAAAAAAATTAATATATAGAGCATATTCTTTATGATAAGCTTTTTATAAAACCAAAATGTGGTTCACAGTAATTCTTAAATACACAGCAGCTGTCTTCAACATATTTATTTCAGATTCAATAGAACTTACACAGTCTGAAATGCCATTAAGACGTGATCATCTTTTTTCACACCTCACATTTGCTGAAGTACCTAACAAAAGCCTATCCAAAATGTTTTTCTCTGTAAATCATCAGACTCTCAGTATTCATCTGATTTCCATTAAACAGCAGAACAGAAGATAGGCTGTACACTAGTAGGATGAACAGTAGTTCAGCTGCACACTCAGCAGGATATATGTAGGATTAGACTACAGCAGATGTGATTTTCATCAGCCATGGCTGATGAGGTGATATATTTGACATTATGACACAACATATTTGATCCTGACTTTTAGTCCTGATTTTGTTTTAGAAGAGTGGGGTTTTAACACAAAGAAAGAAAAAGGTACTCCCAAATTGTGGTAATCTAGATTCCACCAATGAGAAGTTGGTGCAGTTTGACAGAATAATTCAGCAGTTATTTTCTTTTTAACAGCTAGTGAAGTTTCTTGTACTGTTTTAAGGAGAGGCTTGTATTTTTACCAAGACACCGTTGATGAGCTGATATCTGAAATATAAATGTAAATTTTCATTTTTCCCTTGATATTAAAAGTAAAACTTCCTGCACACTGTATTTAATGTATTTAAAATATCAATTGATATTCATAGTTTATAAGTATTTGTTTCCAGCTCTGTCTCAGAAGGTAAAAATCTGTCTCCATGTTTCTAGATCAATTTCTTGTTGATTGTTGTAAACTGCCTTGACCTTGAAATGTATTTTAAGTGCTCTAACATCCTGTACTGCACTCTGGCTAACTATAAACAGTGAGGTAAAAATGATAGAGGACATAATTATTTTGAATTTTCATTTGTCTGAAAACAAACAAAAATTGAGTAAATTTTTTGCAACTCTTTGAAATCTGTTACTGACTGTAATATTCACATGGCCAGCCAAACCAGAAGTGGCAACAGTCTACATGATAAAGAAATCAGATTAACAAGGGCCAGTTTTTCTTTTCAGTAGCCAACATTGCAAAAAGTTTCCCTCCATTTGAAATTTTTCTACCAAAAATCCAGTATCTCCTGACAAAACATATGAAGAAAGTACAAAGAACGTACATGAATAATAAAAAATGCTGACAAGACATAAAATAATCAAGAAGGAATTACTTTCATGATGAAACGCATCAGAAGTACAATCTACTCTGGATTTGGTTTACTATGCTTAAAGACCCACTCCTTTTGTATAAGCAGAAAGAAATGATAAATTATTCTTGGGCATTTTGTTTATAAATAAAAAGGGGCAAACAACCCTTGCATAAGATAAAAAGAACCACATATAGATAACTGCTAGTCTGGCGCCACAAGAGATGCAATGGTTCTCCAAATTATTATTTAAAGGCTTGAGCAGATGCCAAATTGCTTATTTTAATCCATTACAGTAGGATGACAGAGAAAAAAACAGAAACATGTTAAAAGGAACTACAACCAACATCTGCTCCCAAAGACCAAAACACCCACAAGACAGAGTGTATATAGATATATTTTAGATTCCAGATGTTAAAAATCAAAACATTCATTATTAGGAAACACCTCATTCTTTTATCTTAGGAATTTGTAATGCCTACCACCACTATATCTGAATGCTGAATACAGTAATTATCTGTCAGAAGGTAAGGGTATCAAAGTAAGTTTGCAGATGGCAGGTTCAAAACAAGCAAGAGGAAATGATTCTTCATGCAAAATGGTGTTAAGCTATGAAATTCCTCGCAGTGGATGTTGTGGATGCTAAAAGATCACACAGGCATCAGCAGAGACTAAATTAATTTCTGAAAATGTTCTCTGATGATGAGAAATTAATTTTCTATCAGAAAGTACCTAAGCTACAACTAACCGGGAGCTAACAGAATACTAGGTGAAGGTAGATTTCCATGTTCGACTTTTTTCCCTAAGCATTGACTGTTAGTCACCCAATAAAAGAGAAAATTAGAATTGTTGTAACACCGTACCTGCAACGGTGGTGGTTTAGAGATGTAAGAAAAAGCAGCTATTTTAAACAGCATTTCTATTTTGTGTTGGACTAGATTATGTGACTGTCTGAAAAGAAGACAAGATTCAGGGCTTCAATAAAATATTTTTATATTAAGAGAAGACCTTGTCTCTTCCCTGATTATGTTACTAAGCAAAATCTGTCAGAAAAACGGTATCAATTATCAGCTACAGCACTTTCTAGAATGGATACATCTACAAATGTAGTTAAAAGGGAGCAAGGACATTTTGTTATTTTCCCTCAAATATTCTTACTTTTCTTACTTACAGTTAACTTGCGCTTTCTAATTTACTCATAATTAGTGGCAATTAAAAACAAAAAAGTGTAGTAAAAAACTAATATTTCATTAAAAACAGCAATGTAGACTCTTATTTAAGTAAATGACTGCTGCAGAGCTGCATACTAACAATTGCTGTTACTCAAGAGACTTACTTCATGGTGGGAAGACATAACATTCCTAAACAAAAGTGTGATACAAAAGTCTAACTCACGCAAGTAATTATGCTTAAATTCATTGATCCATTGTGTTTACAACTTGTTAACATTCCTCAAGTGAGAAATTTCTCAAGTGGAAGCTAGAAAATTTATGATTAGTTGCTATAGTTCAAAATACCATTCAGTACTTTGTTCTTGAGTATCTGAGATGACTCAAAGTGGTATAAAACTCAGTGATATTAGACAGAGGTTGAAAGCAAGCTGAGGTTGTTTTGTTGTGGTTTGTTTTTCTGGATACATTTTGTTTTAATTTACCATGATTCTTTTTTTCTATTTAAAGTTTATGAATGCAGAACTTTTCATTTGTTTCTATGCTTCTTGTTAATGAGACCGAAGGATAGTTTGTGCCTAAGTATGACAGCTGCTTCCCTCTGCAGCCTGGAGAAGGCTCTAAGGAGACCTTATATTAGCCTTCCAGTACTTGAAGGGGGACTTTTTATAAGGTCATGTAGCAACAGGATGAGGGGAAATAGTTTTAAACTTCAAGAGGGTAGATTTAGACTAGATATTAGGAAGAAATTCATTACTGTGAGGGTGATGAGACACTGCAACAGGCTGCCCAGAGAGGTTGTGGATGCCCCCTCTGTGGAAGCAATCAAAACAAAGCTGGAAGGGACTTTAAGCAATCTGGTCCGTAGCAGGGGCCTGGAACTAGATGATCTTAAAGATCCCTTGCAGCCCAAACCACTCTATGATTCTGTGATAGGTTTTGTTCAATCGAACAAAAAGTTTCCATCAAACTATAGTAACTTTAAATATGTAAATAAAAATAAATTTGAAAATGAGTTCTATGTTCAGATTTGGATTTCCCAATCCAAGAAGGATGCTAGAAAGAAATGAGAGTGATTCTAACAAAACCAATTTGGTTCAAGCTAGAGAACATTAATACATGGATAAGCAAAAGGAGTTGTTTTCTGACAGCCTGGAGATGAGGAGGCTATACATGTGTGTAATTGTCACCTTCTGTTACAGAATGGATTGTTCCAAGAAGGAATGGGATAAAAGGCAGTTGTTGCAAGATGCAAAAGAAGTTCAAAATATGATGAAAGTGTTCTTCACAATGAGAGCAGGTAAGTCCTGGAACTGATGCACAATGAGTTGTGGGATTCCCATCTTTGGTTTATTTTCAAAGCTTTACTATGCTCAAGCAAACTCTGAAGCTATACCTGTTTTGTTCAGAAAGTTGGACCTAATGACTTACAGAGACGCCTTCCAGCCTGTTTATTCTATGATTTTAAGAGAGAATTTTTTAGCAATAGACATAATTCACGCACACACACAAAAGATCAACAGAGGAATGTATTTGTAAAAAAAAAAACTTTACTATTCCTTGAAAACATGCTAAATGTTTACACAATGTAAACATAGTGTTTTATAAATACCAGTACAATCGTCTTCCTCAGGAAAGTCAGAACACTCTGACTCCATTTTTATTACTCTGAGCTTCAATTAATAATGAAAATAATCTCAAGAAATAGCGTGAACTTATTATCAAGCTTTTGACATCAGCAGATATTAAAGACATACAGGAATCTCATCTTGATAGCTGCTGGACGAAGTCAATCCAGAGCCAGAAGCCATTACAGCAAAACTGAATAATGTAAATAAATAAAAAATGTTTAAATGCTTAAATCAAAAAGGCTGTACTAAATAAGGCCTAAATTCTTTGAGTGTCTATTTGTAGATTAAAGTAATGGCTGGGAATCAGAAACAAATTTTGCTTTTACTTTGCTTTCACTAGTTTATTTCAGGTTCATATTGTTATTTTAATTGGAGCCCTGAAGATTCATTTTAAATGACTAGTAATATGAAGATGGGTGTTCTTAGCTATGAAAATACTGGATTACTGAAGTATAAGGTAACTCTTGAGTCACAGCTTGAACCACTGATTGAGCACCTGGGAAAAGGACCTGGTCAGCCCTGGGAGCACAGGTGAAGGCAATTCAACTGCATGACAGGAAAGGGTGGAGCCTGGCTGCACCTCTGTTAGATCCCATTTAAGGGCTGACTGCCACTAACAAAGGATCTCTTCTTGGAGATCCCTCTTTGGTGAAGCTTTCCCCTGCAAACCTAGAAACTTCTGATATGTGTGAGCAATCTTCTTCTCCTTCCTTTATAGCACCTCTCTAGTGTCTCAGTCCTTACATCATTGTTACAACCTCTGTTGTAATGCCTTTTCCATTGTATTGACCTGTCCAATTGCTACATGAAGAAAGTGGAAAATATCTTGATCTTTAGATCTTGTAAGCAATCTCCTCATCTCAGTTCTTGCTGACTTGAAATGTTTTACCAAAGTCCTTTTTCCTTTTTGCAATCTTAGAAAACAGTGGCTCAAGGTCATTTTATAAATGACATGATGAAAAGAAGAAAACTTAATTTGCAGGATCTGGAAAAGCACTTCTCAGGGAGAATGTGTCTTTACACATAGTATTTAGGTATCTTCTCTCATTTGGTGATCAGATTAAAGTTCCTTTTAGTTAAAATAAACAAAGTATCTCAGCATGACTTTTCTTCTTTATGCTTTGGCAGATTTATGGAACAAATCTAATTTGGTAATGTCTCATATTTCAAAAATAACATTGATGTCCAAATGTGCACGTTATCGTTTCTGAGAGCTTAGTGTAAGTTTCCACTGAAATTTCAAAAAAGTTTTCCTAAAAAGGCAAGCTGAAATACAATTTCCTATTTTGACTGAAATTCTCAAATAATTTAAAATTTCACCAAAAGCACTGCAGAAGATAAGTATCACAAAAATAGTATGAGTGACATCTATCAAACTGTAATCTATAATAAGCAGTATTCTTGAACAATTCTGAACTTAAATTTAAGTCAAAATGGACATGACTAATAGCTGTTTGAGATGAAAACTTAATGAAGTTTTCATTTTTTTATTAAATTACAAAATCTATAGCTGTTCCTTCTCCCATTTCTCAAATTAGGGGATATAGTAAGCTACACTGTTTCAAGCTGACATCCAAAAAGTAGATGTCTTTTTACTGTATATAAACTCTACAGGTCTTTTTTTTCTACATAAGTCACTCACATTAGCAGTAATTCAGTTGTGAAGATCCTTTACCTGCAGGTGAGCCAAACTGCTATTTCTCACACTTGCATCACAAATATATCCATGTCAGAATAAAAAATTGGTCACATAAGCCTGCCTTTAAATTAGTAAACAATGACAATATTCCACAAATAACAAAGTCTGATGCTTACACCTCACTAAAAGTCCAGAAAAACAAAAACAGAACTAGCAAAGTAAAAAATAAGAAGGTAGTATTTTTGTTTATCATTTTTGTGCTGAACTCCAGAAGTAGTCTTCCAATCTTAACCACTCAATGATTCTGTGATTCATGAAACTGTATAGAAAATACTTTTCTAATGCAATGAAGTGAGCTTATATTATAGGTAAAAAGATAACTATACATGGATTTCTATTTCTATGCAACAAAAAGACAGTGTAGTTTTAGGAGTTAACGATGCAACTTTACCATAAATAGAATTCTCAGGGGATTGTTTTATATCTCCCAGATTCAGATATGTCAGTATTCAGAAAATCAAAACATCAATACACTTTCACTATGAGGCAAACACTTGGCAGCTCTCCTCCAACTAATACAACAAAATCTATTTCTGATCCTAATTACTCTCAAGAACAACGTACCATTCTGCCACTGGTTTGGCAATGCTGTCAAAAACCACATCTTGCTTCACCTCTTGATCAAAAATTTTCTGAAATCTGAAAATATTAAGCAAAGAATAATTGCTCAGAATCTTAAAACACTACTTGATTCATACTTGTGTTTATAGTAGTTGATGTTTACATCATTAGGCTTACATAACTTAGTACAATGTTTTCCCTGTAGTCTTATTCACAGCATCTGTTGTACTATTGCACATAAATAGTCTGCTAAACACAGAGCTGCATTGATGGGATCTTCACAATAAATTCCTCTGATAAAATGATGTGGCTTAGAGAAAGATAATCCTCATTTTAGATCTACCGAGAGAATCAGTGTTTGTAACTGGCACCACACTGGAATCTGGATAAATAGGTTACACCATAGCTAAATACTGTGTCTTACCAATATGTTTTTCCTTTTTTTTTTTTTTTTTTTTATAAAATAACCAGTTCCTTCATTCTGTTGCACACATACAGTAATCATTAAAGGAAAATGTTTAACTAAATCTTTCCTATGTAAAGCAACTGCAGTTTTCATAGAGAATTATATATCTTTGAAGTTGGAAGGGACCACCTACTGCAATTCCCCTACTCAAGGAAGAGTCAACTGAAGTAGGGTTCTGTCCTATCAGGTTGGATTATTTGCATATGGGGAGCATAAACAGCTGCTTCAGACTGTTCTTTCTGTAAAGAGTCCTAGCACTCTGAACCTCTCCTAATATGTCAGACATCCCAGTCCCTTTACAGGAGCCCAGAACTGGATACAGTGTTTCAGGTAATTTTCTGAAAACCTGGTTACTAGCCAATCACAATCCTGTACTGGTGCATGTGTTTCTACCTCTCTAGGAGCTGGATTTGACATTTCACGATGTTGAACTTTAAGATTTCTACTGGCTTTTTCTCCAGATTCTCTGAGCAGCAGGACAACCATCTGGTATGTCAACCACCCATTTGCAGATAACACAGAACTGAATATTTGCTGAATATGAACTTGGTCCCATCATCCAGGACACTAATTAAGTTGTTCGATAGAACTGGATTCCGTATTATTTACATCACAACAAATGGCCTTGGTGGATTTTGTACTCTTGCTGATAATCTTTTGAGCACAGCAGCTTGGCTCATTTTCAATCCCCCTCATTGAGCACTTACATAACCTTTCCAAACCCCATCCTTCAGTCTTCTTGGGTCACCTGATCCTGCTCTCACCTCTAACACAGTTCTTTTTTAAGGTTGTCTATAGTCAGGAGCTCCTGCTCAACCATCCAGGCCCCTGCTGTCACTGCTTAATTTCTTATCAGGGCAAATTGTTCCTGAAGGAGGTAATCCTAGAAAAACAACTAGCTCTCTGGGACTTCCCAACAATCTAGGGCTGTGTCTCATGGGTTTTTGTTCAAGCAGGTCCCTGAACAGGCTAACACTTACTCTCAAGAAGTCTAAGGTTGTGACCTTGCTTTCTTCCTTGTTTCCTATTCTCAGGTTTTTGAATTTTACAATTTCATAGTCATTACAACCAAGGCCACCCAGCTTTCACATCCATGATCAGTCTTCCTATATTTGTAAATAAGAGGTGTAGCAGATCCTCCTCCCCTTATTGGCTCTTTAAGTTTTAGGAAGTTCAGGAATCAATACACTTCAGAAAACTTCTGGATTGTTCATGCTCTGCTGTGCTGTTCCTCCTGTCTGGAATTGCACATTAATGTAGAACCTGATAGGGTATATAGAAAAGCCTTAAACATGTGCAGGGTATACAACATCTGAAAGAAATGCAGTATATAAAATATACACTCTATTCTGCTAACACTGTATTAGTCAAGTCATTCAAAAAATTGTATTTGACTCCCATACAAGAAAGTAAGAATAAAGGAGACTAATGTTTAAGCTGACCAAGGGACACAGATTTTATGCAGCTGTAAGCTTTATGGAGGAAAAAAAAATGCTTAATCCACAGTGTTACTTTTCTTTTGCTTTGAGGATAGTAAGTCATAGTGTTTCTTAGCATTATTTACTACAGACATTTTAATAAATGATAGAGTAAATCAGAATAAAAGTGTTCATTGGGCATTTGCATTCTAAGCTATTTTTGCATAAAATCAATTTGGAGAAGGCAGTTCCTCACTTTGCAAGCAGAACAGATTTCCTTAGCTGATGTAAAATGACATCAGGCTAAACTGCAGATGTTCATCTGTGGCTCTTTTTTAGTAGCACAGAATAACATAATTTATTTGATTTGGTATTATAAAAAACCTTGAATACTAAGTTAAGGATGTCCTTTTTTCAAAAGTGGTTATACATCTAGAATTCACAAAATTTTTAAACTATTTTCTCTACATATTTTAAAAAGATAAATAATTTGATAGTATTGGTACTTTAAGTTCCTAAAAATTATTCACGTTCCACTGTGAGATATCTACTGTGATAGTTTCTGATTCTTTCAGCTGCTTTTTAAACTGTTTTCGTTGTGTTGAAAACATTGTTTTTAAACAGTGTTTTACATAAAGGCACTTTGGTTAGTCTATGCCAACTCACTAGGTCACAAGAAAACAACACAGTGCTGCACTTACTTTTCATCAATGAATTCAAAACAAGCTGTAGGAGTGGAAGACATAGATCAAGATGGGAACACATAATGGTATGCAATGCATAGGTTTAAAAAAAAAAAAACAAAAAAAAAAACAAAACAACAAACAGAAGCAACTTTAGTGTTCATCAGACTCATTCAGCTGCAGAACATGATATGCTGAAGTGTTGCTGTTGTTAAAGGAACTGTATGAATATAAAGCTACCTCTACCAAAACTTAATGTTAGGAATAGGTTTCTCCTCTGCGATTCTACACATGTGTCACTATACAAAGGTGAGAACTTTCACTTACTTGAACTTGTAGCTCTCTCGCTTATTGTTGACAAACCCATCTGCTAAATCACGTGGCACGATAATCTCCAGACTGGATGCAGATTTTTCATCCTCAACTGAGTAAATCTAATGAATGTGGATATGAGTTAACAAAGTAAGCTTTGTTGCTAAGCAGCACAGCCCTTAGATGCAACATGGTTAGTGAGCATAGCAAAATAACGTAGAGCAAAGTAGTACTGCCTAGTTCAAAGCCCTGAACGCTCAAGCACATCTTTCTACAGCTATTGTTCCAAAAAACAAGTGCACAGAGGTCTCAGCTTGTTGTCACATAGACACTACAGTAAGATGTGAAATAGAAATGCAGTCTGACACAGCTTGCTTAATAAACAATTTTATCAATAACAAGTATGTGCATTAAACAAAGCACGGTGAGGCAGGCATCTAAATGCTTCTGAGGGATAATCGGGAACATTTTTACTATTCCTTGCTATTACAGCAGGCTAAGGGCAGCTCTGCATTATCCCTCAATGTGCTGAACAATATTTAACCGTTAACAGCCTAAATCCCGCCGAACGCCTCAAGTTTTCTCGGTGGTTCCAAGCTGGTCACCCCATTCCCGCCTCACGTAGGACCCCGCCAGCACCGAGCTCCCTTCCTACCCCCGCCTGCTGCCGCCTGCCCAGAGGCTTCAGGCGCGCGTACACCCGGATGCTTTCCTTCACCATCGCTGCTGGGGCCGCCGCGCCGCTGCTCGCGTAGCAACAGTAACCATGCAACGCTACCCAGCCTGCCCTGGGAGAGCCGCGGGGCCCCGTGAGCCGGGCGCGAGGGCTGCCGTCATGTCTGGAGGGATAATTTGTAGCATGCAATGAAAACTTTCATTCTTTTAGTATAGCGTAAGGGCACTTGAAGTTTGCAAGTTGCAAAGGTTGCATCGAAGGAACAGAGGCTGCAGGCTTGCTGAAGGAGCGTAACTTTGAAAGAGGTAATAGTAGGACCCAGTTGTTCTGTGAAATGGTTACCGAAAAGACGAAACAGAAGTTGATGCCCTTTTGCTCTGCTCTGTAAGGCTCTATTTGGAGTGTTACGTCCAGGCGTGAGGCCCACAGCCAGGCAGGGATGTGGAGTGGGTCCAGAGCAGGGTCATGAGGGTGATTGGAGGGCTGGAGCACCTCTGCTATGAAGAAAGGCCGATGGAGTTGGGCTTGTTCAGTCTAGAGAGAAGAAATCTTCATGGAAACCTCATTAGGGCCTTCCAGTACCTGAAGGGAGCTTATAAACAAGAAAGGGGAATGACTTTTTGCATGGTCTTACAGTGATAGGACGGGGGAGAATGTCTTTAAGCTAAAAGAGGGGAAATTTAGGTTAGATGTTAGGAAGAAATTAATCAGAGGTTGGCGAGGCACTGGCACTGCTGCCTAGAGAGGCTGTGGGTGCACCATCCCTGGAGGTGCTCAAGGCTGGGTTGGGTGGGGCCCTACCCATGGTAGGGATTGGAGCTAGATGAGCTTTAAGGTTCCCTTCCAACCTGAGCCATTCTATGATTCTCTTTTGGCGAGACAAAGTAGTAAGAATTGCAGTGATTATAAGTGATTATAAGATCAAAATTAAGTGAAAGATCAGGGAGTTAATTTGAGGATTAATTAAGAGAATAGAAATTTCTTTAACCCAGATGTGGGAAAAATATGTTGACTTTCTATTCCAAATTAGAAAAAGCATTAGCATTAGGGAAAAGGTTTCCTGTCCCATGTGAGCAAACAACTATCTCAGAAAGCATCAGAGGAACAAGTAGTGTGCCTTTAGGGAATGAAACAGCAAAGAACTAATTACCAGCTGAAGTAAAGCACAAAAGTCAAAAGGGTCAAAATGAAAGCAAATGGAAAATATTACTTGGTGATTAAGAGAGCGGAGAAGAAACAACATGTCAAAATGGGATAGTGGAGCAAGTACTGAGTACCATCTTAATGCCACTCCAAAACTATATATAAAAAAAGTATCCCTTGTCAGTATAGATTGGGATCCTGCAGATGGTGGTAGTCAGAAGTGATTAATGCTGCAAGAGGAAACTTAATGCAGCTGAGTGGGAAAGCAGAACACTTAGGATCTGATTAATTCAGGCTGAGGAAAAGGGATCTGGGAGGAGAGAGGTGATAATATCAGTCCCATAATTCTGAAAGAATTAACGTGTTTACTTGAAAGTCCAGGAGCTGGTTTTGCATTTATGTATTTAATTTAGTATTGAAGTGGACAAGAAAGAGTATAGTGTTCTTGGAAAGTAACAAATGGGATAGTCAACTATGTTAGCAGCTGTAGCAGAAATGCTATGTCATAGCTTGAAACAATGACTGAGCACCTGGTGGGAAGGCAGGGCCAACCCAGGGAAGCTCAGGTGCATGCAATGACTGGAAAGAGTGGATCCAGACTCCACCCCTTCCCAGACATCGCTTAAGGGTTGGATGTGAAGGTAAGGGTGTCTTGCTGGAGAACCCTCCGTGGGTAAGGGCTTTTGCAGATAAGCAGCTTCGTTCCTGGATTTTCTGCATCTATGGCTGTCATGTTTGAGTGAACCCTTGTTTGTTGTAGCATGGGATCATGCTGCTCTGTTTTCACTGTTGTGTTTTCTATCATGTCACAGTACCATTAGTATTTATTTGCTGTAGTGCAGCTAATTGCATTTTAGAATCTGCTGGAGTTTTTTTTTGTTTGTTTTTTGCTTTCTGTTTTTTTTTTTCCTCTCTGTCTAATGAGATATGTAGTAAGCTAGTGAGGAGGAAGAATTTTGAAGCATAGGGTCAAGTAAGTAGCTCTCTGTTGTTGCTGGCTGCTAGTTCATATGGTGATACAGATGAAGATGTGTTTGAATACAAATTATGAGTGGCACTATGCGTTGTGATGTGTTTTGTTTTTTTTCTTCAGGAGCTCTTTTTTGCATTTATGTATTTTTTTTCAGGAGCTGTTTTTTGCATTTATGTATTTAATTTAGTGTTGAAGTGGACAAGAAAGAGTATAGTGTTCTTGGAAAGTAACAAATGGGATAGTCAGCTATGTTAGCAGCTGTAGCAGAAATGCTATGTCATGGCTTGAAACAATGATTGAGCACCTGGTGGGAAGGCAGGGCCTTCCCAGGAGAGTCCAGGTGCATGCAATGTTCCTGAGTGACAAAAAGGGGTGGAGCCAGGATCCTCTCCTTTCTAGACCTCACGTAAGGGTTGGCAATGGAGACAAGGGTATCTTGCTGGTGATTTCTGCATTTTTTTAAGGCCTTTTGAGGGTAAGCAGCTTCTTTCCTTTGTTTCTGTGTATGTTGCTGTTACATTTGAGCAAATCCTCAATTACTGCAGCCTAGGACCTCGCTGCTCTGTTGTTATTGTTGTGCTTTCCATTGTGTTATAGTAGTTTAGCTGGATTGCAAATTAACTGGACAGTAGACATAGCAATACTGTAGTTAGCTATGTGAAAAGCCAGTTTGTGTCTGTTGATGTTTAGTAGCTGACCGAATCAAGTGAATGAGACTATATTGTTTTGAGGACAAAGTCTGATCTGTAAAGACTTCAGGTGTCCTACAACACAAATCCAGAGCTGTAGACTAGAGGAACCTGTGGTGTTATACAGAGACATCCTGACTAGCTCTATGCAAACCAATTTGGATATTATGTAGTTAAATGGAGAAGTGAACAAGCCTTTTCTAACTCAAGTTCCAGCATAAAAATACAAGCCAAATTTTTGAAAGGGAAGAAGGAATCCTGGGCCACCTGCAAATGGTCACTTGTGTGGCAAGAGAACAAAGAGAACAGAAAGGATTCACAATTCTCTCTTCAAAATAGGCCTTCTATTACAAAGCTGCTCGTGTGAAGATGGCAGGGTGCCTCTGTATATTGTGCTTCTCAATATATTGCTTTCAGTAATTGCATGTTATCTCAGTGGCACCCAGCACAGAATCAGCACACTTTAGGTTTACTGGCCTTGCTATGATATGAAAGCTGCCTCATTTATTTGAGCTTCAAAATTATCCAGGTTTTCTTCTTGAATGTGGTATGTGCTATACTGAATGCAGTAAATTGGAGATATGGAGAATGTAAGATGAGAAACTAGTTAAAGGCTGATCTATTATGGTTTGCTAAGAAAAAGAGTATTATTTGACTTAAGAAAATTATTAGTGGTCTTCATTGAGGAGGTGTAATATTTTATGTATTGTCACAAAAAGTAAACGCTGATAACGCAGTGTTGAGAGTCATAAGAGAACTAAGATATCTAGAAAAATGAGTAATCTTGAGGATTAGAGGAACTATTGAGTGTAAAACAAGTTACAAAGCCAAGCAAGCATGCATCTGAGGATTAGTGACAACATATTCTGCTGCAAGCTAAAATCCATTCACCTAAAATTGTTAGAAGAAGACTGTTATTGTGGAAGTCAAAATGGCAGCTGTTAATGAAAAAGGCAGCCATGATTCTTCGATGAAAAATGGATGTCTTATAAAGGAAATAATGCCTTCTCACAATTGCTTTGTGTGTATTTATAGTTATTTTTATTCCTTCAAGTGTTTGAATACAAGTGTTATTGTAATGATTGTGCTGATGGAGGCCATTCTGTAAGAGAAGAGACCAAGAGGATGCACTTTCTTTAGCGAAGAGAAAGCAGACTATGTATGTGTGTATGTAAATGCACTATAGAGAATTGCTGTGGAAACAAAAGAAGCTTCTTAAGGTAGACATGAGAACAAATGTACAAAACTTAAATTGGAAGAAAATTAATTATCTTAGGGGTTTGACTGATCCCTTCAGTTACTGAAGAAAGCATGATCAGGTTGTGAGAAAATACTATATGACTCTGTTAACTTATGCTAGCAGGGGTTTCACCCAGAAGGTGAAATCAAAGCTTCTATACCAGAAGATCTTTTTCAAGATCAGTGAAATGTCTTTCTAGAAGCATACTAGGAATAAGCAGATAAGGACAGCTTGAGTATTTTCTTTTTCCAAGCCGCTTGATGGAGATTAGCCTCCTTAATACATCTTAATCCTGCTAATATCTCTGCATGCGGGAGTAATGTATATCTGTCTTCTGTATAAAGTCGCTGCTGGTTGATACTGTGGAGTTTGTTCTAAAAACAAAGCAAAAATAAAGTGTTTTGCTTGTAAGGCAGTTGTAATTTTTATGCTGCAGGGCACCTTCAGTCAACTTCATAACTGAAAAAGCTACAAGGTTCTTGTTTATAACTAAGTCAGTCAGCAGTTGTATGCATCCACGTTCACTGAATGATTATTTATCTTATTGTGCATCTTTAGATCTTCATTTCACCTGTAGGAGATGAATCCTCCAGAAGTTATTGAGTGTTGTTTTTCTCAGTCTCTAAGCTCTTTGCTTACTTCAGCTTGTCCAACACAGAAAATAGTAAGGAAATGAATATTGTCCTTGTAAGTCTCTTCACCATCATTTCCCTTTTCTTATGGAGATCCTGTGGTAAATTTAAGGCTGAAGTTTGAAACAGTAGCAGCTGCAGCAAAGGAAATTTTATGTTGCTTTAGGAATGGATTTCTAATCTCCAGGTGGAAATCACTGGAATGATTTGAGACAAATATGAGAAGTATCCTTTTTTAACCCACAATTGCAGGAATATTCTGTTGAGAATAACTAAAGAACGAAATTGGCTATTTAAATTTTCCAAACACATGGGGAAGAGCTCATTATTAGAGTTAACAGTGACGAGCTGATTACAAAGATGAGGGA